TGTCACCGCGCGCGGACCCGAGTTGGTCCCGAGTGGGGAAAATCTTATTTTTTCCACTATTTTGCGCACAGTAAATAAATATCTCGTTCCCCCTCTTCCTCCCCGGGACTATCCAAGGGAATTGCGCCGGTGACGATACGACAAAGAATTGAGAATTACACAAGTAACATTATCTCTTTTTTTTTTCACCCCACTCACTTATTCACTTCAAGTCCGGGTGTGTGTCTGTCTGTCTGCCTGTCTCTCTCTCTCTCTCTCTCTCTCTCTCTCTCTCTCTGTGTGTGTGTGTGTGTGTGTGTGTGTATGCGTTTCTTTGTTTTATTGTTTTTTATACATATGCTTATGCATGATACACGATATACGTATGTATCCACGGATCATGCGTATTGTATGTTGGCGTGCGAGTGTGTGACTTTGTGTGTACACACAACGACCAAACAAACGCGGGCGCGCGCGAGCTCGCAAACAAACACGGTATATGGATTTTATTGTATACGTAATAAACTATATTATCGATTGTGATTTTTCTTACAATTGTATCCTTTAAATTTTTATTTTATAACGCACATGCTCATTATTCAGGTAACCTCCACGACTCATCCTGTGGCACTTTCATCGACCATCTCGATTGCGCTATTTATTTATTTCTCATCTAAATAGTCTCGCCCATCATTATTCGCCCTATATAGTTGCTCCTTTGTTCAGTTAATATCTTAATTTTGTGCTAATATTAATTATGCCCGATTCGTATTAAGAGAAATTCGTATACATTTCAATCTAAAATTTTAAACATTAATCGACGTCTAATAAAGATAAAAAGGAAAGAATAAGATAAAGATTTGGCGAAACTTTCGATTGCCTTCTTTCGTGTACACGCTGATCAATTTATAATAAACATAATATAGAAGTCAGTTATAGTTTTAATATCTTTAAAAAAATGTCCACATATTTCCGAAAGCAAAATACAATCGCTCGACATAATCTATAAGTACTTCTCAAAAGCAAATACAAGGCGTGCTCGCGTTATAAAATTTGCAGTCTTTTATAAAAAAAATGTAAAAAGTTTTTGAATTTGCTGTGAGGAAGACTTGACTATTTATTAGCTTTGAAAAATATCCAACGCATTATGAAAGAAAAAAAAAAAAAATAAAGTTACAACCGGCGATGTATATAGCAAACAATCGGATAATAATAATAATTCATTGTTTATTCAATTACAAGTTCGTCTCTCAAACAGTCGTGATAAAATTGACCAAAAAAGCAAAATTGATTAAAATAAAATTATACAAATATAATAATTACAAACAAGTAAACAGAAAAGCATGCTTTTTTCTTTTAATCAATCAATTATCTATCATAAAGTACCATTATTATATATAAACAGAGGATTGGACTTTTATAAATCGCAAAACAGTGTGTATCCTCGATAAAATTAAAAGTAATAGCAATAATAATAATAATAATAATAATAATAATAATAATAATAATAATAATCGTAGTAATAGTAATAATAATAATAATAGTAATAATAATCGTAGTAGTAGTAGTAGTAGTAGTAGTAGTAGTAGTAGTAGTAGTAGTAGTAGTAGTAGTAGTAGTAGTAGTAGTAGTAGTAGTAGTAGTAGTAGTAGTAGTAGTAGTAGTAGTAGTAGTAGTAGTAGTAGTAGTAGTAGTAGTAGTAGTAGTAGTAGTAGTAGTAGTAGTAGTAGTAGTAGTAGTAGTAGTAGTAGTAGTAGTAGTAGTAGTAGTAGTAGTAGTAGTAGTAGTAGTAGTAGTAGTAGTAGTAGTAGTAGTAGTAGTAGTAGTAGTAGTAGTAGTAGTAGTAGTAGTAGTAGTAGTAGTAGTAGTAGTAGTAGTAGTAGTAGTAGTAGTAGTAGTAGTAGTAGTAGTAGTAGTAGTAGTAGTAGTAGTAGTAGTAGTAGTAGCAGCAGTAGTAGTAGTAGTAGCGTTGTGGTGGTGGTAGTAGTAAAAGTAGTAGTAGCAGTAGAAGTAGTCGTAATAGTAGTAGTAGTAGTAGTGATAGTAGTTTTTGTAGTAGTGGTAGCAGCAGTAGTAATAGTAATAATCAACGCATCGACAAATTCCGTATACAATTTATGTCTCGCCAACTCATAAACGCATCATTCTTTCCTGTTCTTCCTTTGTCTCTCATTCGTTTTCACTCTCTCTCTCTCTCTCTCTCTCTCTCTCTCTCTTCTTCACAGTCTCTATCTATCTAACTAACTATCTAACCAACTAACAATCTATCTATCTGACTATCTATCTACTTATGTATATATGTATAAATATATATAATAGACGACGAAAATGTTTGTATTTCTTTTAAGTTTTTCAATCGATAATAATTCCAGTCTTTCTAAACAAAGAAAAAACAATACAAATAAAAAAGGGTATTTGATTTTGGGGGATAGGAGCGGATTGGAGAGAGGGGAAAATAGAAAAAGAAAAAAAAAAAGAAGGAAGAGAAGAAAGAAAGTAGGGCTTTTCGTGTTGGATGTACCGGGGAGAAGGCACGACCGGCCCCGTCTCATGGCGTACAAAAAGCAAATGAGCCACGTGCTGTGCCGCTGCTCGACTCGTCCCATTCTTTCTCTCTCTCTCTCTCTCTCTCTCTCTCTCTCTCTCTCTCTCTCTCTCTCTACGTGTAGACGACGCTCGGGTAGCTAGCGATGTTGTGGGGCAGGGAGGATACGTAGCTCGGGGTGGGTGGCCGGGGGCTGTGCCACTTGGGTCAAAGGGCGCGCAGCTTTTTAATGCCGGCCTGCACGTAACGGGCCAAATCGGTGAGGGAACTCTTGGGCGTGAGGGGCCCCAACGTCTCGTCCAGCTCGATGAAGAAGTCTGAAAAAACCAAGAGATCCATCATCGCCCATTACTCGGCAATCGCCCATATACTCGTCCTCCCTCCACGGCATAGCGGCGCGTCTCCCGAGAGTTTCGGGACACGCGACGCTCGCTGCTCCTGTCTACCTGGACTCGTGGCCCAGAGCCCGAGCCAGTGCAACGAACAAAACCGTACGTACCTCTGTGCTTGTCGGTGACGAGGGCGCAGGCCTTGTCCCACTTCTCGTGCGAGCTCATTAGCATGCCCATGTCGTTGTGCTGCTTCTGCATGGCGTTGTGGATGCTTAGGGGCACGCTGACGTAGGTGGGTACCGGGGCCTGGCCGTTGGCGAGGCCGCGGTTGGCAAGCTCACCGCTGCTGTAGCCGCTGCTCTGGCTGCCGACCGAGCCGACCGAGCCCGCGGGCGACGGCGTCGGCGAGAGGGACGGCGTGCCCTGGCCCTCCGGCTGCACGAGCACCTGCTGTTGGAAATGGAACAAGTTGCCCCGTCAGTATCAATAGCATAAGAAAATCGTAAGGCGATTGCGATTAGGAGTACGATTGATCACCTAGGATTGGGCTTATCGGGATCGGGATTATCGGGATTGGGATTCGGATTGGAATTGGGATTGAAATTTAAAATTAAGATGGCGAACGACTGCCCGTACGTTGTCCGTGATCGACCTCTTTTGTCCTCTTACCTTCTGATGATACTCGGCTAGCAGCAGGTGATTCTCCTTTATCTCGGCCTTCTTCAGGTTGAAAAGCTTCTGGTATATGAGGGACTGACACCATAAGCTACGACGGGCAAAGACGAAAGACAAAGCGGTCAGTTAGTTCGATTGCTTCGATTGCTTAATTGCCCACCCACCCCCACCCCCACTACTACACCTGCTGGTAAACAATCGCCTATCGACTCACCTCAATATAAGTAGCTTAATGTGTATGTTACTCTCGACGGAGTTGTTCGGCTGAACTTGAAACTTCGTTGCTATGAATCTGTAAATGAGAGCGTGAGATAAGCTACGGCTCTACGTCCCATCCTTACCATTATTAATTATTATTAATTATTAAGAAAATTCAATTAA